AAAGTACATTTAGTAAATTTATAAAATAATTAAACTATAATATTAGATATCGTATTGGACATTTTACTTAATCCATTAGACATATTTCAATTAATCCAGTTAATATAATTGGACATATTCCAATTACGTGATTAACTGAACTGGAACTGGATTATTTTTTATGATATGTCCAGTCCAATCCAGTCCAGTCCAATAAAGATAATTACTGGACATAGTCCAGATGCCAACACTGTATGGGATATATAAGTGGGTGTATTCAGATTTCTATTTTTGTTAATTTGTTGTTCTAATTTTTCATAATATTGTTTTATAGAAGGCAATTTTTTTACAAATATATTTCTTTTGGAATTTTATTTGTGCTTATCAGAAGTAGGTTAATTTTTCCAAATACTAAAAATAAAGTTCTTTTGTTTTAGAAGTTAATGAATCCTGAAAACTTCTATATTTATGCATTAACTATTTAAAAATATAAATTTATTTGTTAATTTAAAAGCTTAGATAAATAAAGTAAAATTTTTCTAATATTACCTGTTAAGATATATCTTTATTATATAAAATCAACCAGTAAATTTCACTTAATTGTTTAAAATATATAGTATGATTTTTAGACAGATAATCAACTATAATATTATAAAGTTGTTCTTTACTAGATAAATAATTTTAGAAAATATTTTTTTTGTAACATTATTTATAATTTCCTAAATAAATTAAAATCTTAATTGTAAATAATAGTAATATAATATAAATATATATAAATATAAAAGGTTTATTACTTTTGTAAATTTCTTATTCATATTTAACTACCTCTATTTGATTAAACCATTCTTCAATAGCCTTTTGTTTTACCAATAATTCTTTAAGCTTTTCATTAATTTTTAAATTTTGTTTAATAATTTTTTGCAATAATTCAGTAATTTTATCTTCATCTATTTTGATTTTTTTGATTAAAAAATAATAATAATTTCAATAATATAAAAAATTAATTAAAAAATTAATTATCATCAAAAATGATTGAAAAGCTACCAATCTCAATTATATTTCTCATTTTTTTTGGTAGAGATGATTGGAATAAAGGATATCTTTTTCATTATTATGGTTAATTCTCCTCTTCTTTCTTACAATTAAATCATTAAATGTTATTGTTCTTTCAAAGATTTTTTGGTTTTTAGGCATATTTATATGTTGATATAATAAGAAAATTTTGTATGTATTTATGTAATTTATTTGAATTGTATGTGTATAATTAGTGAAACTGAGAATTTTTTCACATACAGTCAACCCTTTCTAAATGCATACTCTCTAAATACATACTATATATTTTCTCTCTAAATACACATTCTCATTTATTCCCAAGCATATAGAATTCATATAGAAATTTTCTCTTTAAATGCACACCCTCTTTAAATGCACATTTTTTAAAATTTTCACTATAGTCTCGAGGGTGTGCATTTAGAGAGGGTTGACTGTATTTATAATTTAATAAGAAAGCAGACTGCTATATTTTTTTTACATTTTTTGAAAAAATTTGGGTTAATCAAAAAAAAGCTGAAAAAAAGAATAGGAGTAAGAATCAAAAAAACATACTATTTTCTTCAACCACTTACCAAAAAATTTACCTATTGAAGCATTACCTATGGATTATAGTTCTTCTCATCCACTAAATCAGAACCAATTTTGTGATTATTGTAATGATAATTTTAATCATTATGGTATGTACTCATTTGTGAACATGCAAGTCATCATAAATGTTTTATAAGGATGGAATCAAAATGCTTTTATTGCTTTAAATATCTTATATTATCTATTGATGAATTAACTAAATCATTTAATGAGCGTTTAAATTTGGAATCTAATATTGAAAATGAATTTGTTTCACCTCCTGACGCTAGAACAAAAAGAAATAGCAATAATTAAAATATAGATAAAGAATTAGTTGAAACAATTTTAGGTATTAAATGATATAATTACAACAAGTAATTTGAAATTGTCTTTTAGCTTTGACTCATAATGTGAACGAAGAACAAGTATATTTATAAAATAAAAATATTATCTGTTAATATCGATCGTATGGTTTTAATAGAATATATAAAATTTTTTGATAATATAAATAAAACTTGTAATAACGATAATTAATTATCACGTGAAATCAGAATTTTTAACTATGCTAGCTACTTATATGTATACGTATTAAAAGTTTCGGAGCTTCTTTTCTTTTCGTGACAAACAATGCTGTTTTAGTGACGAACTTTATTAACGTTTAGATACCGGCAAGAAAGTGGTACATATTTTGTTTTTTTGTTATTTTTATTAATAATATACACTACCCTCCAAAAAGTATCCGGTCAAGCTTTTTTTAAATTTCTCAAGATCGGATATATTAACTAAATAA